AAAAAAGATACATATATAACAATTAAAGGTGACAATGGTATATAGTTTGTGCATGGAGGCTAATAGAACCGCGAGGTTATCGAGTTAGCCTGCATCTCGTTTGAGTGAACATAAAAAAACATGGAAGTAGAAGGACGGATGTGTCTACGATGACTATAAACAACAACACGAAAAATAAATGGCCGAGGCGAGTGCCTCGGTTTGTCTGTTACTAGCTACGGCCCTGTTTTCTGTACAGTACGTGGTGATGTACTTCCATTACATACAGTTTTATTTTTGCCACCAGTTATAAAAATCTCGTGATCGCCGTCTGCCGTTTGTATTTGTTACGGACGTGGAAAAGTGACTAAGCAAACCACCGTTTCTCCAGATCGAAGTAAAACCACAAACACTTTCATAATCAGTGAGTTTTTTGAACACCAAAGAAAAAGCGAAGCGTGGAAATATTTGGAGCGCAATTTTTTCAAACCTCGTAACCGAGTACCCTAGTTTCCAGCTCGTATACGTGAACTCTTTTGTATTCGAGGCGTTATTTATGAGCTTCCTTACTGTTCTTTTTCAGGCACTCCTCAGGTCGCCCACCGCTTGCGTACAACAGGCTCGATGACGAATACCACGTGAACCGCGCCAGTCATATGGGACCTTACCGGGTGGTAGACGGGCTGCCACTGTAAGTGTGCTGTTGTTTGTCGAGGATCAAACTATATCTCTCAAATTATTGGTTTAAAGGGAGAGAAGACAAATTTAAATCTTGGTTTTATTCTGGAAGCATCCTATTCTATTTTTATGCCAAACTTTGATTTTGTAAATCCGTTCATCTTTATCTTCTCTACCCAGGAATCCAATGGGCCGGACGGGCGTGCAAGGCAGAGGACTTCTGGGACGGTTTGGTCCCAATCACGCTGCTGACCCAATCGTAACACGGTAATCAAAATATAGAATCAACACTAATTATTGCTACTTTGTTTCGACTTAGGACGGCTTTTAACAGCTTTTCAAAGGCCTTGGAAATAATGCACTTCACAAATAGTACTTTCACCAATTAGAGAGGGGACGTTGTCTTAGCCAATCAGTAACATTTTACATGGCGCAACTAGTGAATTGGTCGCCGGTTCAGAATTTTCCCCCGCTTGGCACTGGTTACGAGTTTGCCGCCCGTGGCACCGGTTACATGTTCTGCCGCTCTTGGCGCCGGTTACGAATTTTCCCACGCTTATGCCCTTGGTACTGGCCCGGGTTGTTCAAAAGGTGGTTAACGCTATCCACCGGATAAACTACTATCCAGGGGATAGTGTGGTTTGTTTTGTTAACACTAAACTACTGAACAGTGATTTATCCGGTGGATAGCGTTAACCAACCTTTGAGCAACTGGGGCCTGGCTTACTGTTTTTTAGCCACTACAGAAAGAAGTTTCAAATACTTGGATTTTGGGTTTTGGGTCAGTCATGAGAAAACTGCATTTCGTTTTTCAGGTGGAAAAGGACCAGTGCTGGTGTCATGCTGGATGGCGGAAAGAAAGTTCTTGAATTTGTTGCGATACAAAGAAGAGACAACAGTCAGTGGGCAATACCAGGAGTGAGTAAAGAATCGTTTTTATGACACAGCAATGTTTTTGACAGAAGCTTGAAGGATATGCTTTGCGTGGTACAATACAATACAATACAATACATGAATTTAGATAGCGCTCATTTCCAGAGTTCAATGGCACTTTACAATGTTAGTGGTTGGGTTAGGTAGCTGTCTCACATGTGGTATGTAACTGTGTTTTACAAGGGTATGGTTGAACCTGGACAAGTTGTGACCCAGGCTCTGAAGGCTGAGTTTGGAGAGGAGGCCATGGCGAAGCTAAACTTTACAGAGGAAGAGAGAGAACGAATCAGTAGACAGATCGACAAACTCTTCAATAACGGAGTCGAGGTAATTTCACCAATCTAAAAAATAAGATCTCGTAATTTTAAGTTGAATTCAAGTGTTCATTTCAGTTGTGTTCTAAAGGTCTGTCCACACTACGCCGGAGAAATTTGAAAATGCAACAATTACCGGTCATTTTGGATTTTTGTTTGAGGAAAACTCGGGCGGGGAAATCAAATCATTTTCGTGATGTTATGTTTTCGAAAAGCTCCGTTGTCAAAATGTTTTCCGTCCACGCTAAAACACAAAGCCGGCGTTTTCAAATTCCTCCGGTTTGAGGAGCGTTTTCGAAAAGCTCCGTTTCCGTGACGGATTAGTGTGGACCGGAGGAAATAACGGTAGAAATAAAGCTGCGTTTTCAAATTTCTCTGGTGTAGTTTGGACGGAGCCTAAGTCTATCACGCTAACGATAGAGCAGCAATTTTGCATTATCTCACTTTAAGATTCTGCACGCTCGGGGTATGCAATAAAGCATTGCAGAGGGTTGTTTTAAGACGGCTCCACTAATGTTGCAACTCGCCTTGAACAGGATGTTATTCCATCGCCCAGCTGGCTCAACTATTCTAGACACTTAGCTTTGAGTATAAATGATAATTAAGCTGGACGCATGTTTTCATTTTGTTGTCTTCAGGTGTACAAAGGCTATGTCGATGATCCAAGAAACACGGATAACTCTTGGATGGAGACGGTGGCCGTCAACTTTCATGACGACACTGGAGAAGTATTTAATGAATTCAAATTACAGGTGAGTTGTTTCACCCTTTAAAACGCAAACAAGAAGCGACATATGCCAGGTAACAATTTCTGTTGTGTAATCCACAGGCTGGAGATGATGCAGCTGCGGTGCGTTGGCAGAGAGTCAGCGGCAACATCCCCCTCTTTGCAAGTCACGTGTCTATTCTCGAAAAAGTTGCCAAGATGCGAAATGCAGCATTTTGAAACATAAAACAGAAACTTAAAACTTGAACTGAAGTAATATTTTTTACAAGGGAAAGGACTCTCAAATATAGATTACTTAACTTTACTACTTAGCAAATAATTCGGCCCGTTTTTGTCGTCGAAAAGCTACAATATTGAAGAATTATCGTACCATTTTTAAACACAATGAATCAAGAACTAATAAAGGTTTATACGTAATTCATCTAGGAGCTGTTGTGTGTATAGTATTTAAGAGTATTTATAATAATTTAATTGTGTTGAGGCCCTTTCTCGAAATGTGTGAATGTTTATTTAGTGTACAGCATTTTAGCCGGACTAGAAGCAGGTCTAGCCCTAAGTTTTACTGGTAAAACAATTTGGTACTGATTTTGTTCCTCAGTCAATGAAGTACAGAGTTAGTTTTTGATGAATTGTGAATAACTAATACAATGAATTTTTGTTCCATACGTATTTTCGCTCAAGACTACCGTCTCTGAGGTGTAAATTTTACTTTTGTATAATATTCCCAGGAATGTAGACAGATAACCTTTATTGTGTTTTTTTTTCG